TTTTGATCCATAAATCGTTAAAGGTATCTATTGATTTAATAATTGACTGAAAATATCAATCATAAAACTTTGGAATTAAAATTCGAGAAATTATTTGTAAGAATTATACGATAAATAAAATTAATAATAATTTTATTTTATTGATTTTTATTCGTTTAATTAGTCAAAATCATTAATATGTTCCATAGAAATTATAAATTAATTTCTTTAATTAATTAAAATAATTATTTCGTAAAAAATATATCGAAGAAAATTAAATTAATAAAAAAATGATACTATTGATTAAATCTATAGCATTAATTTAAAAAATTTTAAAAATTTTAAATTAAAAAATTTGGATATAAAAAGGAAAATGAAAATGATTCTAAATTTTTATTTAATCGATCTCCTTCAAATTATTTATATTATTTAATCAAAATATTGGATTCTTTCTTTTTCATTTTCAACTAATTAACGGTTCATTAACTTTAAAAGATATAATCTCTCTTTTAGTGCAAACTCGGTGCAGGTTTTTTAAAGAAGTAGCTGCAATAGCATCTGTGTCTGTGGGAAAGTTTTCTCCGGGCTTTGAATCGTTTGTCAAGTATACGGGTTTCTAAGGATCGTTAAAAACTAATTTCTACCTTGTTCTTAAAAAGCTCTTTGGATATGACACGACTAGTCGAGGATGAAAGAAGTAAAAACTTTAAAATCGAAATTCTAAACTTCAAGCGATATAACTTAGTTTCTTTTACAATAACTTTCTTCATTATCTTTTATTCTGATAATAATTTATTATACTTTATTAAATATTTTAAATAGGATTTCTTGAATATAATTAGAATTTAAAGTATCTCAAAGTATATATTATGAATGATAATATTTTATTTCAATATGCAAAAATATCGAAGCTTGTTGAACTTTGAATTTTGAATTTCATCGCATCTTTGAATTTCAAATTTTCAAATTTGGATTTTAAATTTAAAATTTTGAATATTGAATTGTAAAGCTAGCCAGGTTTCTAAGACAATCAAGATTTCCGATACTTTTGAATATTTTCAAATTTCACGGTTTTAGAAATGTTTTATTTATATGTATATATTTCTTTGACGTAATGCTAACATTGTTACTAAGAATTTGGAAGAAAAATAGTTTTTTTTATAAAAGTTTCGTAAAATTTCGTGATATGAAATATTCGAAAGCAATTCTATCCAATTTTACTTTCTAACGATAATTGAAATTTTTGTTGCTTCTAAAATAATAGCTTGAATTGTCTTTTTCACATATTTTTATAAAGTATTTTTTTTTAAATAAAATCTTATAAATAAAATGCATCATACAATCATTTTACGTTGAATAATCATTTTACGATGAAGTTTAATTTCAAATATTTTATAGGGAAGATTTTTATTTTAACAAATTTTATCGAATTTTTTTATTTTTTTATTTTTTGTCATGTTTAATATACATTCGATGTATTTAATATTCACTTTAATATATACACAATAGTTTCATTTATTTAAATTAAAAAAATTGGGCAATTTCGTTTAATTTTATTACTTTTTGAAATGATTTTTTCGAAGTTTTTAGCATTTTCCCCTTATTTTTTAATCAATTATTTCGAACACATAAAAGAAACACGATGCGTAAAATATATATAGAAAATACATAAAAAATTGTTAAAAACGAACATAACGTTTCAATTTTAGTAACAAGCTAAAAGTTTTTTGAAACTATCCATATATATCGATTTTCAGTTTCATGTTCCAATGATTGATACCAATGTACAATTAATAAATGTAAATTTATTACACACTTTGCAAAATCGATATATATATATATATATATATATATTGATATTCATTTATCAAAACAATATCTATAACAAATAATGCAAGGAAATTTAATGTAAAAAAAATCTTTGAAAATAATAGATACATGCAGAAGTTTTAATTTTTTAAGTTTTAAGTTCCCTTATAAATAAATAGATTCTTCATTGTTTTCGGTTAAATTTCTGGGAAAATACTAGGAAATTTAAATATAATTCAAAATTTATAATTCATAAATTAAATTAAATTGATACAGAAAGGAATTGCTACTTTTTAATAGAAGACGAATTTTCAAAACCATAAAATCACGATTCAAATCATTTAAAGTCATAATTTTGATCGTAATTTTTCTGTATAATTAATTTTCTTTAAGCAAATGTACGATACAATTGATCGAATAATCCATCTTTTGCAAAAAAATAATACGATTTGTTTCGTTTCATAATAAAAATCGATAAAAAGTTTTCCGCGCGCAGTAATAAATTATTATATTTTTCTCGAAGTTTCAATAAATGAATACACGAATGAAACTGTAAGTCCAAAACGCTTTCAGGATTAAAAAGTGAAATTACAGATATATATTGTAACATTAATCGATAAAGACCCTTTCGCCTTTCTCGTTTGAATTGAAATTATAACCTTCGGTAAATTGAGAAGAGCGTGGTTATCATCTCGCGCCACGATACGCCATTTAATTTCCACCGCGCGCGAAACAAAACACTTTTCCCTTTCCCTTCTACTACGATCGAAATAACGATTGAAGTAGCGGAATTATCGTGACCAATTATCACGAATCGATGGCAACGAGACAAAGGGATGCCGCTGCCTCTTTCGCTTCTCTCACATTCGAGAAAGAAAGAAACGAAACCAGAGAGAACAGTGATAAGGATCATTCAATTCTCAACCTTGGAAATTTAAACGTATAAAATCCTTGATCGTATCAAATATTATGAAACTTTTTTCATTTCTTTGAATTTACAGCCTTGTGTAATTTATTTCTTTTTCCTCTTTCTCAATTTATGGATTTGGGGAAAGTTTTTAATTTACAGCCATTCACAAAAGTTTCGTGTAAAAGTAAAATTATGTGAAATTTCTTGTATGTAGAATTAATTAGTAATAATCAGAGGATTGATTAATAATACTTGGATATTATAATTTTTGTTAGAATTTTTTTTTCTTAGAAATTTAAAAAATTTTTATCTTTTTATTAGAGACAAAATAGTTGTTAATTTGATTTCTTATTTCATCATGATTTTTTTTTTTTTTTTTATATTATTCTCTTTGACTGTATTATATTGAAATAAGCAAAAGATTTGAAGAATAGGCTGAAAAATGAGGATAATTCGGTCTATGAAATATAGATTTGGGATAATATATTATCTTTTACAAAATCCACATATTAAAAAACTAATATATCAGATTATTCTAATAAAATAATTCTTGAATATATGCAAATCATACAATTACAAGATTCAGAATTCCTACATATTCTAATTAACTTTGTTGTAGATTATTAAAGAATACTTTATTACTTTCATAAATTTCTTTTTTCTTTAATTTAATTCTATTATAATAGTATAAATTAACAAAGAAGAAAGAGTTAATCATTCATTTAAACTTTCTAATTTGTCTCAGTAACCTGTAACTTAATCAGCAATTAAAAAATCGTTAGAGATCCAATTAGTAATTAAATCCAATTAGTAATTAAATTAAGTAATTAAATCCATTTCTTCGTTTTTATTCCTCTTCACGAACAAATATAAAACTAACAATAATCGTGAAAATAAAACCTACAAAGAAGCTACGTGTTCACCATATTTTTCTTTTCTTTTTTTTTTTTTCTTTTTGAAACACAAATTCCAACAAAACACGTATACCCAAAACTTTTATCTATTCTATGTTGTTAACATCCATACCACCATATATAGATTTATATAGATATATATAGATTTTCCCTACAAGACCTACATAACAATTCTACCTTGTCCATTCAAAACATCAAGCATCCAATATTAAATTTCAATACTATTCAAAAATAAAAAACTCACGAAAGAAAAATTTGTCGCGTAATTTCAAACACTGGTCCAAACGAAACCAAATTACACGCAATGATTCCAAATGATCGAAGGCGCCTTAAACCGCACAATAGAGACACAGATTGGTGAATCGGAGTCTCTACTCTTCCATGTCGTTTTAAAGGGTATTCGCTAGTGATGGGATTAAACGTACCTCGAGTAGATTTAAACATTGACAAACAAGATTCATATATTTTACAATCGAAATCGATACTTTTGATAGTAGATACATTCGAAAGAAATATTTATTGCTCCTCTATGAATATTTTTAGAAAAAAAATGTTTCAAAATAGAATAATAATCTCGTTTCGAGATTATTTTTATTTAGCTTTTTTTGGAAACATTTTATATTCTTATTTTTCAATGAAACCATATTATTAGTCAAGTATTATTTTTCAATATATGAATCTCGTTTAAGCTATTATTTGAATTCCAAATTTCATTTCAATTTGAACATCAAATACGAAAAAATACATGACAGTTTACGTGAATAGTTTATCAAATTACAAATAAACTAGATGTAAGATTGAGTCTATTTATCTAAACTCTTAAACTCTTATTTAAATGAAAAATTAAGTTACCAAAAATATAATCGATGGATTCTTGCTTCAAATAAATTACTTATCAAATTCATATAAATATATCGTATTTTTTTTTCAAAATTTCATAGTTCCATCATTATAACTCATAAAAGATTCTAACTATCGAACGATAATCAAATTTTGAGATTCGAAATATTTCACAAAAAAAAAAAAAAAAAAAAATAAAACAATTATTTAACTAGTAATAATATCCGTTTCTTAATCTTTATACAATAAATTCGACTTATAAGCACATACTTGAACTAAATCCTGTCGCTGGTAGCCCAGTATTCACGATCATCCCAACGATTCCCGGATTTTACGATCGAATTGTGTGGATTGCCCCCTCGTGGTGTGAAATATTTGCGAATACACAACGAGACATTGGTAGATCGGTGCCGATTTCGGCCAGATAGCCATCTATCCAAGCGAATGGCGCCGCGCTCGAGCGTGCCAGTTGTTACACGAGGTTGCGCTCGGTACACGAGGGAGGCGGCGGGCTAGTCGTTGTCGTTGCAATGTGGTCATTGTTTCAGTACCACCGGATATCCTGGACGACTCCACCAGCACGGATATGGAGGTGCGGGAGGGGAGCAACGTGACGTTGCGATGCGCCGCGACCGGCACCCCGAAGCCGAAGGTCACGTGGCGTCGCGAAGTCGGAGGCACCATCACCCAGGCGAACTCGCACGAAGGTACGTTGTGTTGGATTTGGCCGAAAAATTGTACCGATTATTCGATCTCCCTTCGTGTAAATTTTTATGCTTTGGTCTCTTTTACCATGTTGATATTGGTGATATTGATTTTTCGTTATTCTTTGTGGGCTTTCTATGCGCATATTTCATTCGTGATTCTCGATAAAATTTGAACTCTCTGAAAATATTTTTCGCGATATTTTGTCAAGAGAAATTATAAAAAAGAAATATGGAGATGCATATTCTTGCATAATGGTTAGGTTAGGTTTGATCTTGACTGTATCTTTTCGCAAGAAATTATTCTTTATCCTGTATCACAATTTCAAATCCTTCATTTTGTGTCTTCGTAATTATGAAGGATATTTTAGAATAATCAAATTAGTTATGTAGGTTTCTAACAACAAATTAAAGGATTATTCAAATCATTATAAAAATAAAAATGGAAAATTGATAATGCATCAAGAATCTTAATAACAATATTAAGATTTGCTTTTCATTAAATATAAAACTTCGTTTGAATGTTCAAAAAGATTAAATTAATGGATGTAATCTGGCATCTTTCCAATTATCATTAAAAAAAATTGGAAACTAAAAACAATCATCAAATGTCACAATAATATTTCATAGTTCTCATATGATTTTCATTAAATCAAGATATTCAGAAAATTAGGTCAATGGATCATTCGACCCAATTTGCCTTCTCCAATCTCGACTTCTACTTGACCACTTTGCACCGACTGACCGTATTTTTTTTACCTATCTTCCTCCATTTATATCTGCTCTCCGTCTGCAGCCATTGTTACCCGACAATCGTTCTCGCCTCGTTCCACGTATATTGCCACTTTCCTCTTGCAGAGGAGCATACTTTGCCCAACCTTCTTGCAAATAAAGCTGCGACACGACTTGCTCGACCGTTTCATCCTCCTCTCTGATTGCATCAGATCTTTATTAGCGAGGATAGACTGGCTACGTTTTGATAGCCAATCTGGATGAGAATCCTAGTCCCTCGTGTTCGTTTCTTTGATATTTTTGCATAGTCACCGATCGTGCATCAGAGAGTCGATAACATATGTGCGTCAGAAATATATTAATTCTCTAATATTTCAAACAAATATAGAATGTAATTATGTTGTATTAATATTTTAGAAAATTTGGGCAGTGAGTGGACAGTGAATAAAATGAATCTTATTACTCGATTGTGTCTATAAAGTACTTAAAAATATGTGAATAATGTGGGAATTTATTAAATTTTTTGTTATAATTTTCTAAATATCAATAAAAGATGACGATATACAGATATTTTTTAATAAACTATTAAATATTAGGAATTGATATATTTTCGATATATAGCGTTAGATGACGTTTTCAAAAAAAAGAGATTAACAATAGAATTTTCAATTTTAATCTTGAAAATAAGTAATTTTTCATGTTACCATAATTTAAATCAATGAATCTCTTTTTTTTTCATCTTTCGATAACAACCAGATAAATAAGAGATTACTTTCTCAGAAGATTTGAACTTTTGTTTCAGATTTATTAAACTTTGATATTAGTTTTCTACTTTGTTAGACTTTAGGGAAAAAGAGAAAAATGAAAATTTATATCGATTGAAATACAGAAACAATAGTACAATTCTATATATAATTATTGGAAATTTAAAGAAATCTAAAAGGAAATCCATTTTGAAGAATTCAATTTTTATCCAATTTAAATATAAAATTACTGCAATTAGATTATGTAAAAATTCGCAATTTAAATGTAATAAAGAGAGATAATCTAAAATTCAGAATCTAATAAATTAATAAAAGTTGATAGAATTAGTGAAAATATAAGATAAATTAAATAAGATTCAATAAATTTAATTAGCAAAAACCATTTGTTCCTAAAATATCAAAATAGAAAATAGAAAATAATGTTATTTTTATGTGAAATATAATTTATAGAAATATTTATTTCAATTGAAAATAAATATACGTATAAGTTAAATAAATATTTCACATAGAAATAATCTTCATTTATTAAATTTCATTAAAATAAAATTATTATACACATATTTATTTCATTAAAATTTTATTTCATTATTTCATTAAAATAAAATTATTATACACATATTTATTTTTCCACTATTATATTATGTATAATAATTTTTTTTTAATAAAATTTAACAAATTTGAATTTTGCAAATTAATACATAAGAACAAATATAATTCAATTTTGCTGATTGAATGTAATTACAATTATTTAAAAAAAAACTTTACTCTGCAAAATGAATAGAAATAGATTAAAGTGATCGAATTTAAAATTTAAAACATATGATTTAATTTGATATAAGAAGAGAATTTTAAGAAGGAGTGTAGTGTAGAGAATAATTAAAATTTATTTCGTTAATCTCTTTTTCACATTCGTCTGTTTATTATTTTTTAATTAATTTATCTCGCGATTTATTTATCTCACAATGCTTAGTAAAAAGTTAATGTAAATAAATTACATTAAATATATAAATATATCTATTTGTTTTTATATTCCATAATAATTTTGGCTCTCTCCATTTCAGACGTCATCTCATACGTTCGTATTTGAAACGTGATAAAATTTATTTGTGTCTCTTTTTAATGCATGGAAATAAAGTCTTCCTTGATTAATTTTATCGAAAGATATTTTACAGAAATTTGAATATATTGAGAAGATTTCTATGAGAAAAATTATTTTTATTAAAAATTATTAAAAATTAAAATTTATATCTCTGTAAAATAAATTTATATTCATTATTATTTTTAACAATTTCAATTATACTTATTTTAACGAATTTAAAATTTAATTGCAATTATTGAATAATTTGAGAAACTTTTTATTTTCTTTGTCATCACTTGTCGTCAAAGATTAATATAATTGTGCATTATTCGTGTGTTCTATTGTTCATGAAACATAATTGATTTTGTAGTAATAGATTTATAGATGTCGGGCAGTGTTATTCAATGTGTTTTCGATCACAGACTTCTCTGTCGCATACGCTAATATAACAATTAATAATATTATTCAAAAATGATCTTATTTCATTTCGATGTAACATTTGACACGTTATTCGTATAACTTTGCCATTTATTCATTTAAATCGCTCTCTATCTTAATTATGAACATCCGTCAAGAATTCTTAACGATCTGTCCAACGAGAATTATTTAATAATTTACAACGGAACAAATCACGAAAGTGTCCGACGAATCTGTTAAAGGCGAAAATTGCTAATAAATTCCTAATAATAATCAGTCTGTGTCAGAATGAACAGATCGAAATTCGATCTCGTTAATTTTTCAATCTCGTTATCATTTTTAATCTTCAAATTGTCGTTCTTTTTCATTTATTAATCTTTTACAAGCAAACATGATGTGTCCTGAACTAAATCTAATTCTTATAAAAGAAAAATATTTCTAATTAATAATTTATACAATTTTATATTATTCGATTGAAGTTTGAAATTTTCTATTTTCATTAAAAATTTTCAATATATAATTCTTTTCAAGAGAACGAAAACTAGAAATTAATCAATTAATTACACAAGTATTAAATAGCAATCGATCAACAACATCGAGTGTGGAGGATACGTAGCATTCAAACACTTTGAACGTTACGCATTTGTAACGTCACGCCCATCAAAGTTACCTTCAGCGCGGATAATTTAATCATCAATTTAACTCACTTCTATCCAAAGGATTAATTACCACCTCAGAAGTGTGCCAATCAATTAACCGTCTATGCCTCGAATCGTGCAAACGAATCGTATCGATAGATCAAACGATTCATATTCGAGAATTCGAAAATCGATATACCCGATTCCTTCCTTGTTCTCTATCCTTTCTCTCGTCAAGTAAAATCTTCTCTGAAAAAAAAAATTTCTCAACTATCAAGCCGTCATGGCGATCGTTTTACCCCCCTCAATTACCATCTCCTCGTTCGAATTACTCCTCTTCTTTGTTCCAATACGCCATCCCTCTTGTCCACTTCTCCCTCTTCTCTCCCTCCCTTCTCCCCTCGAGGCATCCTGCACGACTGTTCAACCGTTTCGTGACTAATTGCACACGGAAGTGCAAGGGACGTTTCGAATTGTGCAGGTGCGTAAAGGAGAAGTCTCTATAACCCTTTCTCGCCCCGCCTCGCACCCTCTTTCCTCGCCCTCCTCGTCCTTTCCAGACTCCAGCTTAGAGTTGAGGCTGCGAATAGAGGCGACGACAATTGCAGCGCGTTTGTGGTTTCTCTTTTGAAACGAAAGGAGCCGACAATTTTTGAGCCACTCTCAAGCCAGATAAATGGTCAAGGTTCTCGTTAATTAAGACCCTTCGGTGAATGGATCTCGAAGAGAGGGTTGGATTATTTCTTTTTTTCTTTTTTTCTTATTTCAAGACGACAGCTTCGAGGACGGTCTCCAAGATCAAGAGGTGTAAGTATTAAGTAAGAATTGAAACTCTTGAGGTTTATTTCTAGTGGTCTTTTTTTTAAATGAAAAAGAAAAACTGTAAGCTTGAACCTCTCAAGCTTGATAAGATTTGATAAATCGATTAAGATTAATTAATTGTTATTTGTTGAATTAATAATTTGAAATTGTAGCAGTACATAAGTAAGTATACTATTTTCATTAAAGCAAGAGAATTTATTTGATATTTCTAATTAACATTATATCAATTAAATAGTTAGTTTGCAAAATTTTATTAATTAATCTCATTAGGAGAAACAAGTGTATTCAAGATTTTAAAAAAATGAATAACAAGATTTACTCGATTTATCTATCTCATTTTTAAAAATTCATATTTTATTTTCGAGGAAAAAAAGAATCTTACGAAGCTTGAATCGATCCCTCATCATCATCGTTTCACCAGATTCAATCCACATTCGACTTCGAGTCGAAATCTATCCAACTTCGAATCTCTCATTTAGAATTCCCAAAAATCGAATCAATTCAGTACTCGAGCAAAGAATAAAACAACAAGATCTATGAAATCCATATATGTTTCAACGCAAGAGGTGTGATGGCTTATCGAACGAAAAGAGATTTCACTGGCAAACCTCGGATGAAATTTCTCTGATTTATTCATCGGATGAATCTTTTTATCGTCTGCCAATAGGTTCTAAGGAATCGTTTCGAGCATTTGTCGCGTTTGTTTCGTTTATTATTTTTTTTTTTTTTATATTCTCCTTATCCGCTTCTTCCTCGACATCTGTCGTTTCCCAACAATGGCGCGATTCGATTCCATTAGGCGATAAATAGAGGGGAAGGTATAAAATATTCCGTATACGCGATTTCTCTCCTCTTCTCTTCCTTTTCTTTTCTTTTTTTTTTTTTTTTTTTTTTATCCCTTCAGGCGTTGATTCTGCGACTCTGTGGCTTCGTTCACGCACACACGAGCAAGCTTAACGGCCATGCTTGATGAAAAGCAAAATCTTTTTCCTGATGAAACTTCCTATCGTTAATTTCAAAACAACTGGATGCTGTTCGTTTAATTAGCTCGAGGACAGCAAAGACAGACGCGTGAAATGAATTTTCAACGGAACTAATGCTCTTCTCAACAGGTGTTCAAAGGGATGTGCTTGCCTTTTTCACTCCTCCCTTTCTCTCCCTACGATTCCGATCGAATCAATTACCGGAAATAAGTCCTTTCTTTTGAACTTCTCGGATAGAATTTTCCGCTGTATTGACGAAACTATGGAATGATTTAAGAAGTTTTTTTTTTTGTGATTTCATCTTGGATGATAAATCGTTTTGCTTTCGATATTCGATTTTCCGTTTGATTAATATCTTCTTTCTTTGCCTTTTTTGGAGATAAATGATTGTATCGTGAGAAAGTGAGAAATTGGAAATTGGAAATTAGCCATTTCATATCTGATGATTGTTAATTAACTAGAAATGAATAACGTATTAATTGGAAATTGAGAGACTTGTAATGTAACCAGGCTTTATCCGATTTCGTGATTGAAAGGAATATAATTTAAAAAAATACATGAATGATATAAAGAATTGTTTTTAGTGTTTTGCGCGTATGGATACAGTAAAATATAATAAAATTTAATCAATTAATTATATTGTCCATGAAAATATATTACATTATATGTATATAATACATGTTAAAATAAAGTTATATGTTAAGTTAATTTAAAGTTATATAATCAAAATAAAAAATAATAATAATTGTATTAAATAATTAATTTGAGATTTTTCTAAGATGAAAATTAAATTCTAACGATTTCTTGGGAGAATATCGTAAATTTTGACTAAATTTTCTAATTTTATAAAAGAGAAAAGGAAGTTAAAATGAGAAGTTGTAAACAGTGAGAAAGTTTCTTCGTAAAAAAAAAAAAAAAAAAAAAGAAAACTTTTAGATTATTTTTCTTTTTAAGCTGTTGGTTGCTTCTTAAAGAAATTTTTATTTTCTATGTGAAATCCCCTATGTGAAATTTTCTTCGAATTATTAAACTTTTACAATAAAAGTTTAAAACTTTTAACGACTTAATAATTGAAAAGTTCATAACGAAAATGATTCTCATTAATTCTTTTTCCATGAAAAGCAATAATAGTTTAACCCTCTATTAACAATCTGAATTTTTCAAGGTACATTGTTATTCTCTCGAAAGAAATAAACTTACCTACTGTTTAATATTGATTAAAAATACAATGTATATTAACAATAAAAAAATGTTCATTATAAGTTATAAAACACGAAGAACTTAGTACGTGCCTCGATGCAATTTATATTTTATTCTTTCGTTCTTATTTCGTATAATTGCAGTATTACAGTAGTACACATCACTGCAATTAAATCATATCTTATTTATTTACTTGAATATTATTATATTATAATAATAGTTAAATAATATAGTTAAATAGTATCTTCGTGTTCTATTTATCGATTTGAACAAATTTCAACATTTCTCACTTATATAATCAAAGTAATAAGATAAACAAAATTAAATATAATATCGATTACAATATATTCAACAATATTTTAACATCTTTATACTGAATACTCATTGTTCCGTCGAAATCCATCTGTAGAGAAAACATTATACTATATTCAGAGTTCGTATTCAGAGACGCTAGTTTAAAAATTACCATTTTATTCGTTAAATTAAAAATCAAGATAATTAGACACATGCAAATTATTTTCTTTTTCATTCGACGTGCATTCTGAAAATTATCTTTTTTCCTATAATACATCATCCTACATATTCCTGGAATACGCAAGCTTCAATACCGTTTCAGATCCGCGAATTACATACGCCATTGAAGTTCATAACGTCATGAAATTAGCATCCCCTTTCACGTGTTCCTGCCAGTATACTCGCTACTTTAATAAATCGCCGACTACGTGAAATTTCACGTGGCACACAGCAGGTTTCCTTGAACGCGGTTACATCACTTCAAACGATCTAATTAAATCCTTTAAGCAGGTTTTTTTGTGTGTCACGTTCAACCAAGCCAAGTGTATCGCATCCAGACTCCTCGTGATTCGAATATTTTCTACCGGATTACAACCGTAATCGTATTTAACCGTTTACCAGCTTTTTGATGCACGGCAATGTTATTACACGTAAATATGGCACTGATTAGGCAAACAATTGGTGAATTTTTTAACGATTTACGTGTTTCGTGTATCGAGAGTACATTGAAAAGTGTTTGAACTAATTTTAATGTAAGTTGATTTCAAAAATAGAAATAAAAATGGGAAGATCATCGATTTTGATGATTGACCATGTAGTAAACTTTTTCGTGTATTTTACTACAATTTCAAATTATATGGAAAGGTACATAGATTGAAATACAGTTAAATAAGTAGTGTTCAATTCAAAGATTTTTCGTATGGAATAGAATAAAAATTTTTGTTGAAGTATCAAAAAATTAAGTTCTAAAAGCTTAAATATTTTTATAGAAAGATAACCTTTATTCTTTTTTATTAAAAGTTATTTAAGTTTTAAAAAATTTCATTTCACTTCTTCATATCTTAATCTTATCTTAATCATATCTTATCCATTCGTGAGGAATTTCCCTTTTGACAATGATGATATAAAAATAATAACATCAAAACAAAATTAATTTCACATGCAAAACACACATTGCAAAATCAATATTCCTCCTCCAACGGATCGCGAGATAGAATTCCTATGCTTCAAAATAGTTCTCTTCCTTTACACGAAAAATCAACTAGCCCTACCCCTCCCTCCCTCCTCCAAAAAAACGTCACAATAGATATACAAACGGGAGCAAAATCGACTACTTAATGCACTCGGTTTTCATGCGGTCGAATCATTCCCCACTCCATTCGAGGATTGCAAACCATTCGAGCGAGATAGCGATTTTTCGAAAGTATCTCACTTTTAAACGAAACCATCCTCGCTTATACAGCTCCAATAAAATGGAACACGTGCCGCCCTCTGTGTATTATACGTTTCCATACGTTTTGTTACAGTAGGCCAGGGCTCCGTGTTGAAGCTAACGCGTGTCACGCGTGCCCACATGGGACCGTATCTGTGCATAGCGTCAAACGGTGTGCCGCCAGCAGTGAGCAAGCGGATCGTCCTCAACGTTTACTGTACGTATTACTTGAATATGCATATGTATTTTCAGTCGTGGCGCGCTTGTTTGTCGAGAACAACGTGTATATGTATATATATATAAATTATAAATTATGTGGAATTCTTTACTTTCTATGCTACCTCATTTTGATGAAAAATTTTGATGATTTGTTGGATAGTAAAATCTGATATCTCGTGTTTTCTTAATTTTAAAAGAAAGGGTTTAAAGTTTGTTTCTCGCGGTTAATTTTTGTTGTTCAAGTGATAGACAGATGTCATTAACTAGTGATTTTGTATAGAGGCAAAAGTCTTTGTACAGGTTACGAAAATTTGATTAATAATTTGTGTTTTATTGAAATCAATGATAATTCTACAATGTTTTATGAAATAGTACGTAGATCGTGATGGAGCAGTTTTTTTATTAATAATGATCGAGAGGATGAAATCAATCTTTAAAGTGCCTATTAATATTATTTTCAATCTAATGTTTTAAACCATAAAGGAATTGATGCTCCATTACCCTGTTGTAAAAAATATTTTTAGATGAAATTTTAGTGATTAACTATAGATAGTACGTGAGAAAATATATATTTCAATTTTTATAAAACAGCGATTTATCGGATTTTGTTATATGATTATAGAAATTATGTATATATATTCAAATTACATGCAAAAATATTCAAAAATAATCATTATCCTATAAAGAATAACCAAATCATTTACTCTATACATACGGAAAATCTGAGGAATCATAAATCACACGAAAATTATTTTAAAAAATTCAAATTTAAAATTGTAATACTGTAACTAATAACCGTAACTAATATTGCAATTCTTTTAATTCTTTCCAACAATAAAAATTGTCAAAATCGAAATAACAAAACAACAATTTTCGCATCAAGCCTAAATCTCAAAAAATCGCTCTCAAAAATAAGGAGAGATGCTTGTATAATTTCAATAAAGAGAGAGAATTTAATCGTTTGTAAATCTTCGACTCGAAGAGCAATTAATGGGTCACGAGCAAGGCACAAAGGCAAACAACCGAAAGCGTTAACAATGCATTGTGCACGCACGTTGGAAAATGCAATTTAAGGTCTCGCTGCAACGTGGTCGTGGTCTCTCCGCCGGGAGAGCGGTACCATAATGACGCCACTTGGGAGGCCGTGAATGGCAGATGCGAAGGACCATTGTTTCCGTCGCTCAAGTAACGCCTTAAATATTTTCCGCCACCGGCGAATCTCTGCTGTCACGAGCCGGCTTGTCGACCATCTTACCGGATTGATTAAAATATGGGATCTTTGAAACGTCCATTTTTGAGCTGAAAATATTCCATCAAATCCGGATTTGTAGTAAAATTCGCGTGCGTTAATTTCTTTTCATTTTTCTCTTTCTTTTTTTTTTTTTTTTTTTTATATTGATTGAAACGAATTTTGTAATTCGATTGATTTCTGCTGGACAGATATAAATTGTAAATTGATCTTTTGTATTTTTTTTAGTATTATTGTGCGTTACGTGAAATTATACGATATTAAAAGTCTTTTTTGATAATTGGGAATTGCGATTTTTTTCATTTGTGGAATTTGTTAGTTGATGTAAATTTTATAAGGGAATTATTGGATCATGATTTATAAAATTGAAAGAAAATTTGAATTTTCTCTCACGGAATATTATTTTTAAAAAAAAAATGATTTGTGAATTTTTCTTAAAAGTTTACATGTCTTTGAAAAAATATATGAGATGAGTAATATAGAAAATGATGGATAAAATTAAAATAATCTATGATCGTACAAAAATCAAGTGATATAATGATATTTACTTATTTCTCCTCATTTTTTCACGAAATTTTCGTTTAAATAAAAATAAATTTTAAAACGTAAAATGTTTAATTGAAAAAGAATCTCAATTCAAAAATCTTAGCATAGATTTTCGAAAAATTGAAAAAATTAAATACTTTATAAAAAAAAAAGTATAAAAACTAACAATCTTATTAAAAATTATATGCAATTATATTTTAATTTCTATTATTAAAATTTTAATAAAAATTCACGAGGTTTTTGAGTACTTACTTCTACATATATTTCTATAATTAATTTTCAGTAAATTTAGTGCCAATTCAGAATCACTTTGTACGCTATTAATATTTAAGTACAAATCCATCATCACATAAATTCATTAATGCAACTCTCTCAAAATCTATTATATTCTCTATACCTATCAAACGTTTAGTCGAGTGTACAAGCGAAGGAAGCAATTAACGGTAGAAAATTTTGATTTCATATGTAGATACAAGGTGCATGAAATATTAATGGAAATTCTGTTCGCAGTTCAGCCAATGGTATGGATTGAAAACCAGTTAGTTGGCGCTTATGAGGGTCAAACGCTCGTTCTAGAATGTCACAGCGAGGCTTATCCAACAGCAATCACTTATTGGACTAGGCCGTCTAACGAAACGATTACGAATGGTATGCAAATATTGAATTTTTCTTCATAGAACACATGCTTTTATTTTCTTTTATTCAAATAACGAGAGAGAAATTAATTTTTTAATATAGATATATATTACATATATTAAAGTAATTCACAATTTTTCGAACGATGAATTTTTTCAATGATTCATCATTTTATAAGAACAATCTATCTATTATCCTGGAATAGAAATTTTTGAATGTAATTTTTTTTAACAATTTAACAATTTATTAGTAATCTTTAAATTCAAATTATATTTTTGTCATAAATTTCTTTCTCTCTTAAAAGATTCATAACAGAAATCTAATTTCAATTATGAGATCTATAATATTATAGAATAATTGTCTCTCCAATATGATACATTCAACAAATATTTTAATAAAGAAAATTTAAACCTGATAATTAAAAGTTCCAAATAATCATATATATTATTCTCCTATTATTCCTTAAAAAGAAAACAAAAATATTTACATCTCTAAATATTTTTCAAAACAGATTCATCAATTTTTTATCCATTCTCGAAAACAAATTTTCTCAATTTTTATCTCAAATATCTTCGAAAGACGGGATACAACTTTATTACTAAATAACACTAATGCTTAATTATTTCAATCAAATGTAATTGTCTCGCCTTTAAGCCTAATATCCTTTCGTGATAATTGGAGAGAGAGAGGATGGTGGTGAAGGGGCACGCACGTGAAACAACGAAGCGCATGCGCGCCGCTTTATCCCCTTTGAGTTAATTGTTAACGCGTTGAAAATTAATAACATGTCTCTCTCGCGTGTATCTTAATTTCCTCCTTTTTGTTACCGAATCACGGCCATCTTTAATCAAGCCGCGGACCGCGCATTTATTTTTGAATTAATTGATACGTCGACTTCGTGAGAAAATACGCGTTGCGTGACAGAAACTCGTTAAACGTACGGATTGAGCGGAACGAAACAAAGAAAAGGGGATTAAAAAAAAAGAAAAAAGAAAAAAGAAAAAAAGAAAGAGAGAAAAAGGAAGGAAAGTGACGCAGTAACACATGGGTAAAATCGTCCTGGCTCGATGATCGTTTTCCTTGGTTACGGAAAAGCTTTTGCGGAAACGGTTAATCCTTTGTCAGTTCAGGCGTATTTGGAAGTTGATCGCGGTGTCTGGATTACGTGACATGCAGTAAAAATAACAGAGAGAGAGAGAGAGAGATTTGTTATTGGGACAAAGGACAATATTTAACAAGTCGAAATATGAGTATTTTCTCATTGTTGTATTCTCCTGATGGAAAAATAACGAATTGCTATTCGAATAATTTTCTGTGTATAAATTCTTTATATACAGGGTGGCCAAAAAATGCGGCAGATAAATATGGGAAATACAGCTTAATAAATTCTTGCGGTAATTTCAAGCGATATTTTTCTTTGCAAAAACTTTGTTGATAATAAAAAAGACTTCAAATATCAACTAGAGAATACATACATGGAAAACATAGGCTGTCATAATGTAGAATATTTTCTATATTCTACAAAAAGTTACAATTTGAATTATTTCTTATGCAGAATCTATATAGAAATAGATAATTAAGCTCCTTAAATTAAGAATGAAGAGTCATTAAGAAAAATTTTTATCATTATAATATTTAAAAGTTTAACCTAATTTTTTTTTTATTCATTCCAACCACGTATACCTAGCAAAGCATAATAAAACTTCATTTACGTTATGTCTTCACGCGTCACGTCTGGCTAGAAAAAAATATTAATATTGTTCAAAAAATATACGAGGATGAATGCTCGAATATATGTAGAAGAAGTTACATATTAAAATAGCAAGGAAAATATGCTGATAAGCAAATGTGTATATGTGCATTTTCAGAACATTGAACGAATTTCAACATGGAGATTGTTCGTGAAATTTAGAAAATGGCAGCCATGTAAAAGCATGGTATATTCAATTCACGTAATGTTGTAACAGCAAAAGAGATAAAAGTTTTTTATTCTTTCATATATTTTTGTCTTCAGAACATGTGTGTTTCTATAAAATATAAAATTGGAAGAACAATTTTTTTGCATTCTCATATTATAGTTAATCCCTTAAAGATTATAAACCAAATTAAATCGATTTTCAAATTAAATCAATCTTTCTGCGTTATTTGAATTATATCGAATTCTTCAAATATAATAGAAAATAAAAAAATAAAAATTATTTTTTTACGTATTTTACGATTTTTATAATATTATTAATATTGAAAATTTTAAAAATTTGATCTGGATTTTATGATAATTCCTTGAATTAAATTAGATTTTAAATATACACACGATTTTCTTGTTTCTACACAGAATTATATTATATCTAATAGAAAATCACAAAAGTATATATTCAATATATGAGAAAAAAAAAAATAAAATAAAATAATTTCAAAATTACATATAATATATCATGATTTATATCGTTATGATATTATATATAATTTTTGTTAATTATTTTATTTGTCAATTAATAAAATTTTATAATCTTTTTTCGTTTAAATCTTACAGAAAAAGGCGCCATATTCAAATAGTGAAATCGATTGATCACATTTACAACATAACTTCTTAAAGATTTGATTTAAGAAAAATCTTACGAACCAGAAAAAATCCTATATTGTCTACTTTTTTATTACATAACTTATAATCTTTTACTTTTCCATATATTTCTAACAACTGTCTCGTAGCCAAATGATATTGATTACGTCACGGAATAAAATAACTAAAATTAATCTAGTTCTTTTTATGTCATTCAACATTCATTGCTCGAAATAGACGATCACATTCTTATCGTTGTCATCTCGTAGAAATGAAACGAATTAGGTTTTTAACAGACGAGCAATTACACCACCACGGGATTAATAGCGGAACTCGCGAGTGATGAGTCTTATCAAGCACTTTTTCATTGCATTCTTCGTACGAACAACGTGGGCAGAGATTGAACGAGATTTTCAATTACGAAGAACGATTGTTCGTGAGAATACGTTTTTCTTAGAAAAAAAAAAATGTTATTAGACTGTGTAATTAATGCATTGGTTTTCTCTATAAAATTTTTATAGTTCTAATAATTTTATACGGGATACTCTGAGGTTATAATGATTATCAAACGATAAAAGATAGAAAATTTTATTCTTCTCTTTTATATCTAAGTTGATATTTTTTGAACGAATTGTTTTCAGAGAAAAATGTTGTCAATTTGTTTTGTACAAAAGAGAATAGAAATACGTATCGATTTCATTTCAGGAGAAGCTTTTCAAATACTTCGATTTTCAGTGTATATAAACACACATCAAATCAAATGTCAATTCCAAATAATTTAATGTTTCCATTTGAAATGTTTATCTATCCTCAATCGTTTCAGATTTATTATTTCAACACAATTAAACATCTTGTACACGTATATTCTTTCTATCGTGAAAATATTTTTTGGAGAAAATTTTTTGAATTATACACAATGCGAAAATTTTACTTGTACTATATTAGAGTTAATTTCTTTATTTAATTATTTTTTAAATATGATTCAATAATTAACAAAATCTCTCGTATTTTTGTTTGTAGATAATTATAAGGTTGAGACAATTCCAAAGGGGTACGAGATCACTATGAAGCTTACTATAAAATCCGTACAACTTCAAGATTTTGGATCGTATCGATGCGTTGCGAGAAATTCATTAGGGGAAATGGACGGGAAAATTAAACTGTACAGTAAGTAAATCGAATTTTATCATTTATTATTCAAAATTCGATATCCATTGGAAATATTTTTTTTTTCATTTTCATCAAAAATTCTCTATAATTTTTATAAATCATTGATAATTATCCTTCGATATCGATAACATCGTACCGAATATTAATAATTGATATCGATTAAAATTTTCGATTAAAAAATTATTTCCATAAAATTATTTTCATTAAAAAATTTTTGATGCGACTTTCACTTATACGATCACTCTCCAATTCTGTCAACATCGATCAATCGTTCATAGCATTAAAATTGCAAGCACATCTCATTTGAATAATAGAATTAAGATAATGGATAGAAAAATAGGATAATGCAAAACTTCATTAACCTAATTTAAATCATGACTACAGTCAACGCCATTATCAAAAATCTCAATTATCTAAAATGTTACTAATCACGCAATCGTGTTACACAATAATAATTAGAATTAGCATCAGGACTAAGAGAAAAGAATAAAATAATTAAAAAGTATCGTTATCGATAATAATACATTTTCCATTTTCTTCACATCCTCTCTTTTTCCTATACTTCCTAGACTTCCATTCAAAATCTCTTCCACATGCGCGTAACGTGATCTACATCGTGCTTAAAAAAACCGACCTCAGCAAAGAACAAAAATCTTCTAAAAATTTTCCACGTACTAATTTAACGTTTAATTAGTTATACAGTCGTCAGATATATAACGTGTAACAGTTTCATTTCTATGATAATCCTCTTGTTATATTTAGTCGAAGGAATCGAGAAAATTTAATGCTCAAGAGGATATCCAAAGAAATTATTTTTGTAATACCGTTCATTCAACGATAGCAATTGCACAGCGATTTCATAACTGCGCAACTTTTCTGCTTATCAGTTCGCGAAATCCTCTCGTTATCGTAACTTTCGTTAATTACGGCTATGTAACCACTCGATGATATCGGATCGAAGGTGCAAGAGAAAAGGTCGAGAGAGGGTTGAGAGGAACGAAGCTAGTATTAAGAGACGTTAAATTTCGTCGATCAATTCAGATTGGCAACGATATTTTCGTGCCATTCAATTAATTCATCTTAATAAACGCCATTCTACTTTGCCAATTTAGGGTTTTTTTCAAACTAAGCTCCGCGATAAAAATTGCATGTAAAAATTGGAATGCCCGTTGCAGGTCAATTCATCTGTTGGAAAGAAGAAATTAAAATTATTTGAATAATCTATGAGCGTCGATCAATTCACTCGATCAATTTGTGAAATAGTAGAAATATAATAGGATATGGATCATATTTTATGGCAGGAATGATACATTTGCAAATTTGGTATTTTCAGATTTTTTAATTGTTTAGGGAAATTAATTATATAAGGAATAAGTTTATCTTTCTATTAATTAATTCCCTTTTTTAATATCATAAATATATCATGAATTGCTTTTGCATATTTTGCAATATGAATTACAATAAAATTAAATCGCTAATTTCGCGTGAATAACCGCGAAATTTTTTTTAATTAAAATTAAAATTAGTTTAATAATTTTTATATTGGAACGCAAAATTTGTTGCAACAACAAGGCCAAATAAAACGTACATTTATATGAATATTTTTTTATCGATTTCACGTGCTAAATCCATTCCGGAAGCCGTTTCCGCATGCCACGATACAGCTTGTACAGGTAACATAATCGAGCCATTGGGAGTCGTTATTAGGATTCGCGATATTCAATTAGTACAACTAATATGGAATTACAGGGATACCTCTGGCACCCGTTTTAAAGTTTTCACAAACCGCCATATTGCGATAGTTAATTATATCAGAATTCGTTTATCGTTGTAGACTAAGTTTCATTGCGATAATTAAACATGAAATATGTCGTGTTACTACTTAATATTTTGATTTAAATGGTTTTATCGAAGAATCAGTTGTAAAGATTGAAATGAAAAATAAATTATAGCCACTATATCGTTTTAAACTTATTATATATTAAATTAAATTTTAATAACAATTATCGATTTTTCAAGAAATTATTTTTTCTTTTGTTTCAGATAAAATGAAACAAAAAAAAAAAAATCTAGAGGAAAATTTTGCATTATTTAACAATATTTAGTATTTTATAATGTGTTTTCTTTATTCAAATAATGTTAGAAAAACTTGTATGTTTTTATAGAGATCTAATTTATTTTTTCTCGCAAGGATTTCAGAAAGAAAATGACAAAAACTTCCGTTTTCACCGTATATCGCGAGATTCTAAATGGAATATTTTAACTAAAAAGAGTAATATATCTAGCCAATTACTAGATAAATAAAATATATTTAGAAATTCGTATTCTAATAATTCAAAAGATATAAACTAAATTGACTGACAAATATTTTTAAAATAACTATTAAATAAAATTTATTAGATAAATTTATTAAATTGAAATCTATATAAAACATTTTAAAGAAATCGATATAATATAATCCAATTAGATATACTATTAATTTCCAAATAAAAATCTAATTTAATTTAAAAAATCTAATTCAAGAAAAATATTCTAAGATAATAACCATTAAACCAAATTTATTACGAATTTAATTAATTATTAGCAAAAAATTGAATATGAATATAAATTTCTTGGTATAATAAAAAGAATATAAAATAAGAATTTCGTGTTTCTCGCCATTTACCTAACTCCTTCCTCTTCTTCCTTTTTTTACTTGCCATGTTATTAACGATTTTCGTTTCCCTATGCGAAAAAACTTCTTCGTTACGTGCCAGGCGAAAAATTTAATACGCTAAATAACGTTACGTGTTGAAGATAATGGACAAACTTTCTTCTGTTTTGCAACTTGTTAATTATCGTGACGGTTCTTTCAACCGCTTTGAAAAGTAATTTAACCGGTGAGACTTGAATTAATTAAACAAACATACGCGTCCAGGTGAGCTGTTTAAACGTTATTTAACTGGAGAAAATGTTAAGCTGTATGTAATCTCTCTGTCGTGCAAATTTGACGATATACTGTACCAATTAGAAACTTGTGTGATCACAAAGAAATAGTGGATCTTGTTCAATGGTTTCTCATCGTTCGATATTCCATAACCTCAAAATTATATAATTTGTAAATATTAATATCGGAGATCGTTTAATCCTTTTATATATTTTTTATTTATTTTATATTGTTCTAATTTCATTTATTTTTTTTTAAATTTATAATATATTAAGATAATCCCCGAATATCGATAATTTCGCAGATCCTAATTTAATTCATTTAAATTGCTCCTTTATTTTATATTATTTACAGTTTTATTTTTTTAAATTTCTTTGTTATAATTTAACACATGATAATATAAAATATGAAATACAATTACAAAAGTATTAATAAGGAAATATTTATTTCAAATTCATTTAATTTTACTTTTAATTTTTCATAAAATATTTCCTTACGTATATATATATATATGTATTACTACTACTTTATTATGTAGTACATATATATATTTATAATAAATATTTTAAAATAAAAATTCTTTTATATAGATACATACAAATTAAGAACTTTTTCTATTTATATTCTATGTATATTTTTTGTTCTAAATTAAACAATTAAAATAAATCCACGAGATTACGTTCCTGTCATATGTTACTCTTGAAACTATGTCAAAATAAAAATAAATAGAATATATAATTGTAGCAAGAAAGAGATTTTTAATATTCGATATTCTAAAAAAAAAATTATCAATATTATACATGGATAATATCGAAAATCGAAGCAAAAAAAATACGGATATAAATCTCTCACACGTATATACCGAAATTCGTTGATTGGTTACATAGTTCTCATCAATTTTTACAAATTGGCAAAATTTCCTAGTGAAATTTTATTTTTGAATGGAAACCAGCAAATCAAATTGAAAATAGAATTCATACGAACTCGAACCAAATAGACAGAAATAAACAAATTTAAAGTTAACAATAAATGAAATTAAAAAAGAAATTTTCCAGTATATAGGAATTTTATCACAATAAAATGAATGTATAATATAATCTTAGTTATAATCAAATAAAAATACTGTTATATACACAAACATATGTATATAAATGATGAAAAAGAAAGATTCATAATTCTTATGATAAATAATATCTGATAAATGAAGAAAAAAAATATCTTTTATAATAATTATTAATGAAAATATTTTCAAAATTATAAGCAATTTTTTACCAAAGCAAATAATTTTTAAAGAATTTTTTAATGAATATGTAATTCTAATGAAGATGTCAAGCGTGTGTAAAGAAATGAAAGGAAGACATGTAAAAAAACAGAAAAAGAAGAAATAATAAGGCCATTGTTTTTACATGGCGTGTCAGTTCTCAAAATTGCTGTTTTCAACCAAAACAAAAAAATTATTTATAACATTGAAAATATTAATTTTTGAAGACTTTTCTTCTTTATTTAATAAATATTATTTATCCTAAAAGTTTTTTTATTCATATATTATATATAAATATATAAAACTATCATCCTAAATCGCACGTATGAAATTATTTTCCTATATGCTCATCATTCAAATCATTATACCTTGGAACTTGTCAAGTTTTTAACTTTTTCAACATTTTAAAATACTCACTTTCAGTCACTTGATCACGTGAAAAATGAAAAATCAATAGAAATGAATTTATCATAACTTTTCTCCTGTACTTTATAATATATTCTAACTTTACTTATTTAATTCTTTTACTTTCAAACTTTAATTTTTAATTTTATAGATTTTACTCTTATTTCATTCATCGAGCTAATTCATAAGATAAATTAGCTCATTTTAACAAGAAAATTGCATCAATATTTTTTTTTTTATTTTTGCTATTGCAAATATTTACATGCTTCTTAAAGAAGTATCCCGAAGAGAAACTGCTGTTTCTGTTGCAAAGTTGTTTCTCGTTAGCTAATGACGTTAGTATCGTAATTTGTAAAGAGAGGGGGAAAAAAAAAGAGAGAGAAAACATACTGCAATCGATGAAGA